GCATACACACTCCCAGGAAGATTGAAGAACAAAGACAGGGATTGAAGAGATAACTTAGCAGTTATGTTCAAGATGACCAAGTTCAGTTATTGGTACCCACATCAGGTAGCTCACAGCCTCCAGTAACTCCAGCTCCAGGGGATCAGATGCCTACTTTTGGCTGCCTCAGATACCCACACACTGGCAGAATATACAAACACACACATAATTTTTTTAAAAGACAGACTATACATCGATATGTGTATGTAAGTGAGGTTAAATTTTCCACCAAGTTAGCTATGAGGGAGATGTCACTTGCCTATCTGAGCAGGACATTAAAAGGTGACGGAGTCTTGGTTATGGTATACATTTAATATTGTTGCTGTATTCAGACCAGTCAGGTTCCATATGGCAGATTTTCAGAGACTGACTCTTGCATCCGTAGCACATCCCTTAAGTTTTAGTGCGAGTATATATTGAGCCCGTGACTTCCCGAAATGCGTGCGTTTCTTTTGTCTCTTTAGATGCTTGTACTTCCAAGTCACTTATTGCTCAGAATTACGTTATCCTTTTGTTGGATGCCTGTGCCCCTGTGTAGTTCTGTAAATAGTGCTGCAGTGAGCACTGGCTTTCAGGTGTCTCTGTGACATGCTGACTTGGAGTCTGTTGGCAAAACCATCATGATACAGCTGGATCTTATAGAGGTTCCTATTTTAGTGTTTGGGGCACCTCCACCACTACCTTCGCAATGGCTGGACAGCTGACACTCCCACCAGCAGTGCTTAAAGGTTCTGTTTGGACTCTTGGGCATTTATTGCTACTTGTTTCCTTTGTGACTGCCATTCTGACTACAGTTAAGCTGGAATCTCAGCCTCACATTGATTTGCATTTCCCTGGTTAATTGATGTTAGACATTCTTTATGTTTTTATTGCTGTTTGTATTTCAGATTTATTTTGTGTGCATGTGTTTGTGAATGCAACAGTGCCAGAAAGCAATTCAGTTCTCTTCCTGTCACCTTGTAGGATTCTATCAAATGTTGTCAGGTCTGCATGTAAGTACCTGTACCTACTGAGCCACCCCACTGGTCTTGTATTTCGTGTTTTTGAGAACTGTCTGTTAATTTCCTTAGCCCATTTATTGATCAGCTATTTGATTTTTTTGTTATTTAGGGTTTTTTTTTCTAGTTCTTTGTATATTCTGTCAGGCATGTCCAACCTGCCGTTTGTTCATGGGCCACCTGGACAGAAGGAGACCTAAACCAAAATATTAAACTTAGTTCAAATATTATACATATTTTTGGTCTTTCTGTGTGTGGTTTAGTTGTTTTGTTCTGCCTTGTAGATGACATTGTGTTGCAATATAAAAAGGCAGAATATACCTGTTTGATGTTAAACCTCTATAGTATATAGTTAGCACAGTTTTCCCCTTTAAAAAGGGCTGTCTCTAACTTGATTAACTATTTCCTTCATGGTATAGAAGCTTTAATATCAAGATGTCCCATTTGTCATTTGTTGATCTTATGTCCTGAGTGAGAGGAGCCATTTCAGGACAGTGTTGTTTGCCCTACTTTTTCCTTTAGCAGTTTCGGAATTTAAGGGCCCTGTTCAGAACCTCCTTACTTATGCCAGTATTTTGAATTATTTTCCCTCTAGCAGCTTCAGAATTTCAGGTCTTAATTAAAATAGTTGATCCATTTGGACTTGATTTTTGTGAGAATTAATTCTTCTAATTCTTCTGTATATGGACATTCAGCTTCCTAGAACCATTTGTTGAAGAGGCTGTTTTTTCTCCAATGTGTATTTGTAACATCTTTGTCAAAAATCAGGTGTTTGCAGCTGTGGGTTTTTTTTTTGTTTGTTTGTTTTTTGTTTTAATCTGGGTCTTTTATTCTGCTGATCTGTGTTTTTGTGCCAGTGCCATGCTGTTGCTATTACCATGACTCTATAGTGTAACCGGAAGTCAAAGTGTTACCTCCAGCATTCTTGTTTGTGCTAAGGATTGTTTTGGTTCTTGGTGTCTTTTGTGCTTCCACATTAACTTTAAGATTATTTTTCTGATTTCTGTGAAGAGTGGTGCTGAAATTTGAATCAGAAGATTGTTTTCGATAAGGTAGCCATTTTATAATATTAACTGTACTAATCCAAAAGTGTGGGATATTTTTCTCTCTTCTAGTGTCTTTAATTTCCTTGATGTTTTAAAGTTTTCATTTTTAGAGCTCTATTACTTCTTTGGTTGCATTTATTTCAAGGTGGCTTTTGTTTTGATTTGATTTTGAAGCAGTTACGCTTCAAAATTATATTGTTGTTTCCCTGCTTTCTCAGAATGTTTACTGTTAGTTGTGTAAGAAAACTGTTGATCTCTTCTAGCTAAGATTTGAAGGGCTGTGTTGAAATCAGAGTGGAGAAGGTAGATGTCTCTTAACTCTCACCTGGGCCTGAACTCTGCTTAATTGGGAGGTTTTCTTGTTTCAGTGTCATTGCTTGTTATAGATCTACTTATTTATCTCATCTTGGTTTAATTATATATAGTAGGCTATATGCATCTAGAAATTCATCATTTCTTTTACATTTTAAAATTTAGTGGGATGTAAGTTTTTTTTTTAAAGATTTATTTATTATGTATACAGTGTTCTCCCTACATGTACACCTGCACTCCAGTAGAGATCACTAGATCTCATCATAGATGATTATGAGCCACCATGTGCTTGTTGGAATTGAACTCAGAACTTCTGGAAGAGCTGATGGTGCTCTTAACTTCTGAGCCATCTCTCTAGCCCCTGGAATGTAAGTTTTTAAGGTCTGTCCTTAGGATTTTCTGAATTTCATTGATATTTGTTATCATGTCTTTTTGTCTCTTAATTTTAAACTGGAGTTTTCTGTCTGTTTTGGTTAGTTTGGCAAAGAGTTTATTGATCATCTTATTCTTTTCAAAGAATCAGATCTTCACTTCACTGTTTTTGTTTTGTTTTTTTGTAATTTCACTTTTTTTTTCATCAATCTCTATTAGTGGCACATTCTGTTAGGAAAGTTTATGTGAGAAACTAATTAAAATCAATCACAAGGCTTTTGTGTGCATCGAATTAGGTTAAAGAAGTATTGGTTGGTAGGTAGGAGCTAAGGAACTGGAACTGGGAAGATGGCTAAGTCTGATGTTGTAAAAGCATCAGAGCCTGGACTTAGATCCCCAGTGCTCATATAAAAATCTAGGTGTCATAATCACTGCACTGGGGAGGTAGAAACTGGAAGATCTTTGGAGCTTGCTAGCCATCCAGTTGAGCCAGTTGTTGAGTTCAAGAACACATACAAAGGAAAGCCAAGGACTACTTAACTCTGTTTCTAACAGCAGAACTACGAGAGCCATCCAATATGGCTACTCAAGAGACCTACTGTTCCCCTTCAGAAATCTGTTTTTCTTTAAGTCTCCATATTTTATCAAATCAGATGCTGAGACCCATAACCAAGTCTTCGGCATAGTGTAGTGAATATTAAGGAAGGAGGAATTAGTATATCCTAGAGGGGACAGGGAGCCCCACAAGGTCCAAATATATCTGAGCACAGGGGTCTTCTATGAGACTGTTTATCCAACAAGGACCATGCATAGATATAACCTACAACCCCTGCTCAGACATAGCCCATGGTAGCTCAGTATCCAAGTGAGTACCCTAGTAAGGGGGACAGGAACTGCTTCTAACATGAACTCATGAGCTTCCCCTCCCCCCTGAGGGAGGAGCAGCTTTGCTAGGCCACAAATAAGGACATCACAACCATCCTGAAAATACCTGATAAGCTAGGGCCAGACGGAAGGAGAGGACACCCCCTCTCAGTGGACTCAGAAGGGGGCAGGGAGGAAATGAGGGACGGAGGGGAGAATTGGGAGGGAAAAAGGGGGTGGGCTACAGCTGGGTTACAAGTGAATGAATGTATAAAATTATTTAAAAATAAATAAAAAATAAAAATTTTAAAAAAGGAAAAAAAAAGTCTCCATATTATGTAGTATGCCGTGACTATAATCCTAGTGTTTAGAAGGCAGGAGAAGCCCTACAAGTTTATACCCAATTACTTAACAAACAGGCTGGAGAGATGACTTGGTGGATAAGAGCAATGGCTGCTGTTGGTGGGGGGTGGGGGCTGATGTTGATTCCCAGTATCCACCTGGCAGCTCTCAACTATAACTCCAGTTCCAGGGGATCTGATGCCCTCTTCTGGTCTCTGCGCGCGCGCGCACACACACACACACACACACACACACACACACACACACACACACTGCAGACAAGACACAGGACATACAATAAAAATCTTAAAAATTCAAACTTTTCTAATTTGCTTCTCTAATGCTGTGATGAAACACTGATATTTCATGAAAAATTTAGAACAAATCTAGATTAACAGTTAAAACACTGACTAAAAACAACTTGGGTGAAGGAAGGGGTTTTTTTTTGGCTTACAGATCATAGTCCATTATTGGGGAAAGCGAAGGCAGGAGCTTGAAGCAGTGACCATGAGGAGGAATGCTGCTTATTGGGTTGTTCCCTAGGGTTTTGCATACCTTACTTTCCTATATGACCTAGGACCCACCCAGGGGTGGCACTGCCAACGATGGACTGGGCCCTCCCACATTAGTCATTAGCCAGGAAAGTGCTCACAGACTTGCTTGCCCACTGGCCAGTCTGTTGGAGACAGTTCCTCAACTAAGGGTTCGTCTTCCAGGTGAGATTAGCTTATATCATGTGTACCAAAATGAGGCAACTCATGAACATAACAACTTTAGTTTGGACTCATCTCAGAATTGTTAGATAGGTACATTTCTGTAATGTGTTAGTGTGAATGTGCTTTTCAAACATTTCTGTGGCTATTTAGTGGAGATTGGTTTTACTGAGACAAATTTATCTTTTATTATTTATCTATATTTTGCAAGTGTCACTAACTGGATCACATTTTCTAATTTGCAGGGGATAATTACTGCCTGTGCTGTCTTTAACCTTGCAATTAATTGAATGTTTTGGAATTGTCTCTTTCAGGCCATTTCATAATTCTGAATCATGTCTGATAACGGAGAGCTAGAAGACAAGCCTCCAGCACCTCCTGTGCGAATGAGCAGTACCATTTTTAGCACCGGAGGAAAAGATCCTTTATCAGCCAATCACAGTTTGTTGAAACCTTTGCCTTCTGTTCCTGAGGAAAAAAAACCCAGGAACAAAATCATCTCCATATTCTCAGGCACAGAAAAAGGTAAACAGCTGCTATAATTTTTAAGTCTATGATATGTTACCTATATTGCTATCCTATGGTGAATAATAAACACATTAAGAAAACGCTTGCAGGCTGGAGAGATGGCTTAGCAATTAAGATCACTGGCTGCTCTTGCAGAAGATGACTCGGGTTTGATTCCCAGCACCTACAGGGCAGTTTACCACTGTCTGTAACTCCAGTTCCAGGGAATCCAACATCCTTTTCTGGCCTCCACCTGCACCAGGCATGCATGTGGTACACATTCGTACACACAGGCAAATATGTATACACATAAAATAAAGTAAATCTTGAAGAATGAAAACACTTGATGCTGATGCTTGATGGCACACCAGTTTACTTAGTACTTAGGAGACTGAGGCAGAAGGCTCACTTGAGTTCAGGAGTTCAAAGCCAGCCTATCTCTAAAACAAACAAAACCCATTCATTCATTCCCAAGCTGTTGATCCTCATGTCTGCAGGTACATGCTACCATGCCTAGCAAGACTACCTTGTTAAGCTGTGATTGCTTGTTTAATCTGCTTGCTACAGTTGCGTCCTTCATTTTCTGAGACCTTTCTAAACTTTATTATATTAGTGAGATTTGTGATTGCTCTAGTCTATTCTGTGTGGCTTAAACAAAGTATTTGAGGCTGGGTACTTTACGTAGGCATGATGGTGTACACCTTTAATCCCAGCACTTAGGAGGCAGAGGCAGATGGATATATATGAGTTCTAGGCCAACCTGGTCTACATAGTAAGCACCAGGTCATCCAAGGCTATTTAAATGAAACCCTGTCTCAACCCTACCTGCCTGAAAAGAGGTTCATTTGGTCTGTGCTTCTCGTGGCCAGAAACTGCAAACAGCACAGCCATAGTGTCCGATGAGGACAGTGTCTCAGCACAGTGAAGATTCAGATGAGGAGCCAGCTGTTTATGGGAATGTTCAAAATCCAGAAGCAGCAGACTCAGAAGGGGCTAGTCACCCCTTGTGGGCATCTGCATTCTCAGAAGTTCCTGTGCTCTCTGGCACCAACATTAATCCATTCTAAAGGTGGTCATGACCCAGTTACCTCCTATGATGTCCTGTCCTTTAAAGGTCCAACTACTTTTCATACTGTTTTATTGTTTGTTTTTTTTGTTTTGTTTTGTTTTGTTTTGTTTTGTTTTGTTTTGTTTTGTTTAGGTATTCTCCTATAGCTGAGCCTGGCATCAAACTGTCTCATAGTCCCAGGACTGAGAGACAAAGGCAGGCAGAACTCTGTGAGTTCTAGGCCAGCTAGGCAGTGCTGTAGAGTGAGACCCTGTCTCAAAAAAAAAAAGTTTGTTCAGATCACTTGTTTTATTTTTATTCAGGTATTTTGTTTTGTTCCTTATATACTCTGGATATTGATCCCTTGTATTAAGTAGTTTAAATATTTTCATATTTTCTCCCATTCAGCGGGTGTTTTTTTCCTCCCACTGTTTTGTGTGTGTGCGTGTGTGTTGGAAAAGCTTGTTAGCATGGCACATTCCAATGGAATTACACTTTTTATAATAATTCACTGATCCTTTTTGCTTGCCTGTTAATGTTTACATACTCTGTCTGAGTTGCCAGGAATAAAATGATAAACAAAGCAAACAGTCCCTACCCTTACTAGTCCAAAAACTAGTGGAGCTGGGACTATAACTGTAGTTTGTGAGGCGCTAGGTTTGGGTTTGGGGGGGGTTGAGAGCAAATGTAGCATGTAATTGTGAACTATGAAAAGTGACACAGTGCTAGTGTAAGATGGCTGAGTAATTTGGAGTATTTGAGAAGGCTTCTTAAGGAAAAGAAAACAGCTTTAAAACTACAGGAGAATGAAGCTACGTTTAAAGTGTATTCTGTGCCTGGAGAAAAGCTGTCAGCGGTCTGGCCACAGGGTCGTGGTGCACTCATGGGACTGAGTGCAGGTTAGTGTGACTTAAAAACAGGGCACATAATCACGGTGTAGTGTGGTATTCACATGGAGCCACACACAACAGAAACTGAAAAAGTGGGACAGGATCTGATCACAAAGGGCATTGTGTTCAGTGCTGTAGAGCTTAGATTTTCTTTGTTTCCTGGGGAACCATTGCAGAATTTAATTCAGGGCAAGAGCTGGCCAGGTTTCTGTTTGAGGTACAGGAGACTGGTAGCCATATAGAAAATAGGTTTTGTTGGAGGTCTAACACTACCTTGGGAATTATCAGGCTTTTGCAGTAGCCCTTAGCTAGTTTAGTACTTTTAATAATGAAATGGCAGTGAGCCCTTGTCTTGGCTTAGTTGGATAGCAGTGTTGAGTTGGTGGAGTGTTCATCAACTGAGGAAGTTTTACACCCCGTATGTCAGCCTGTGTGTGTGCACTTTCATATCCCATGGGTCATGAAGATGATATGTAAACAGTTTTTCTTAGCTGGGCCAGGTAGTGCACACCTGTAATCCCAGCACTCAGAGAGGCAGAGGCAGGCGGATCTCTGTGAGTTCAAGGCCAGCCTGGTGTTCAAATGAGTCCAGGACAGCTACACAGAGAACCTGTCTCGAAAAACCAAAAGAAAAAAAAGAAAAGAACCTTCTTTCCAGAAATCCAGTATTACTGTTAATACTAGTTTATGTTTCACCTACTTTCTGGAGAATAAATACCCTTCTGTGTGACAGAACAAGTTTAGTTGCATTCATTTGAAGTTAGTCTAAATCACAAGAAAAGATATCATCACTGATTATTAGACTAGAAACTGAGGAGTCTTCTGTTTAAGCAGATAAGTGTTTCCTTTCTTGCTCTTTTCTTTTGTGGAATGCACAGCAGTCTTCCACCTCATTCTGCCAAGTGCTGGGATCCCAGTCATGAGCCATCAGGCCCAGCTTCAGATGAGGCTGTTCTTGACTGTGACTTCAGCTGGGTCAAATGTAGAAAAAGGCAGTGGCCTTAAGATTCCGTGTCAACATGTGGATTTTACCTCCTCTTCTTCCTGCTGCTGCTGTTTTGATTTTCATAGGTTTCAAAAGTGATTCAAAGAAGTTTCCATGGTCCATTATTTTCCATCTAGTGACCTGTTGCCTGAAGGTAGATATCTTATAGATTCTTATGTTTGACAAGCGAAAGTGGGAAATTGACTTTTATTTTTAAGAATGAACAGATTTTTTTCCCCAAAGCTCAAGTATCTTGCGTAATTATTTTTTCCCCCTGGGGGGAAGCCAGTGGTGTTAGCACATGCCTTTTGATCTCAGCACTCAGGAGGCAGGGGCAGACAGATCTCTGAGTTCAAGGACAACCATGGCTACACAGAGAAACCATGTCTCAAAAAATTTTTGTTAGGCCAGGTGTGGTGACACATCTTTAATCCTAGTACGGAGGAAGCAGAGGTAGGCGGATCCAGTGAGTTCTCAGCCAGTCAGAGCTATTGAGAGGTTACTGTGTACATGTGCATACATGTGCCTGTGAGCAACAGTGAATGTGAGAGCTGTGTCTCCTGTTTCACCAGGTGTGTCCAGTAGAAGAAGCTCAGGCTGTTGGGCTTGGCATCTTTACTCGCCTTGCTAGCCCACTGTTTTCATTTGAGTAGACTGACATATTTCTAGGCTGTTTAATCATATTTGTGTTTTTCTTTGTTCTATTACCTCTAACATTTATGAAATGTTCTTTCATACACACACACACACACACACACACACACATATATTTTTAACTTTTTAACATCCCAAAGGTGGAGAACCTGGCTGGGCCTTAGACACAAGAACTGCGTGCTTACATCTTTTTTTGTTTTTCCTTGTCCCTGAACTTTTTTTCCTGTTCTTTGCTGATTCAGCATGCACTTCATTCTTGTATTAAGAAAGGGAGCTTTCAACAACAGATGGCCTTCTTATGATCTGGTCACTGGAGCTATGGTGATTTTCTCTAAGTCTGGCATAGCTCAGATAGTCACCGTGTGAAGCAGTTGGCTGGAATGTTAAGTGGGTGGGGGACAGTTGTGGCTGATGTGGCTTGAAGGTTGATGCCCACCTTGGACTAGGCATCCATGATCAAGGTCACATAAGAACATGCATGGGGACCTCTCGGGTTAACAGGAGAAAAGCATCTGGAGCAGACTTTTAAAAAAAGAAGAAACAAACTTTTTTTTTTTTTTAAACATAAGCTTTTTTTTCCCTGTCATTTCTACAGAAACGGTATACAAATTAAACTGTTACTTCATAGGCTACAAATACTTTCTTCTGTTTGCAATGTAATGAGTTAGAAGCCCAGGTACAAAAAGAGGACCGGAAGTCCTGACCTCAGATTACTCAAGTCTGGTGGAAACTGAAAGGTTGCTTATGAAGGGTGTCATTGTGTATTTTAGTAAAGACAACAAAATTTTATGCAAGCTTAAGAATTTCCTTTTCCTCTGCTCCTTTCCACAATCAATTTGACTGTAGTCTTGTCATGTCTCTTGTTGGTAAATATGTGTACCTGGAAGATCTAGAGGAAGCCTGGACATTTTGCAGAAATGTGTTATAAAATGTGTTATCACTAGTCAAAAAATGGTATTGTTTCCTATGAATGCTAGATTAGTAATAAACAAAGAAAAGCATGTTTACCATAGTATGTACAGAATTCTCAAACAGCAGTGCAGTAGAATCTTTTGGTTAAATATGCATATTGAAATACTTGCATAGTGTGTGTGTGTGTGTGTGTGTGTACATGCTTGTGCCCAACCCCAAGACCCAACTGAAATGACAGTTTAAAAGCCATTTGTTTTTAAAGTCACTGTAAAGGGTAAAGAAAACAGAAAAGGGAACAGGGTCCAAGGATTCTCAGCATGCACTGAGAAGATTGCAGTGGAAAGACCATAGCTGCCTAAGTGGACAGAGAGACAGCAATTGCAGAATGGAGTATGAGAGAGAACATAACCATTTTCCCTTCTAAGAGTTTCAGTGACTCAGGATTTAGAAACTGTAGGGAGAGGAGAGTCGTGTCCATAGAATTACTTAAATCTACATAGGAAGTTATCCAACATACTTGTCAGAATTCACTGTTTCACTCCACTAACGGGCCATATATATATTCTCTTTGGGAATTCTGAAAAATGAAAGCATCAGACTAAAAAAATACATATTTTTTTCCAAGTCATCACACAAAACTTCTGTTTGTCTTGCTTTCGGAGTACTTTCTCCTTCATCTGGCCCGCAGACTAGACACTGGAAAGTTTCTCTGGATAAACAGAATGTTGTGGGGAAAGTACTTTAGATACATAGAATCCTATCTTCATCTTTAACCTAGCTTGTGTCCTGGTTAGTTGTGTAATGTTTTTCTGTAAGCATGGACAGCAAAGGGTCACCAGACATCTGAAAACAACACTCAGACACAAAAGCTCAGAGTAGTTGGGAGCACCACATTAGCATGTGCTGTGTGAGGCCTGGCCTGAACAACTAAGTGAAATCTAGGCTAGCCGCAGCTCGATATCCTGTCTCCAGAAACCTGTGATTTTATTAAACAGAAGTTTAGAAAAAGCATTCCACTTGAGAAAACCAACAAACCAGTGAACTCAGCTGGCATACATGTACATACAGCATAATCTTTGAGGAGAGAAGATAAATTTATGAAACAAGAAAAGGATTTTCAGAGGAAAAAAAAAAGAACAATGAGAAATAATTCTTGGAAAATCAGTATTTAAAATTAATAGAACAAGTGGTGATGGTGGTGCACGCCTTTAATTTCCAGCACGTGGGAGGCAGAAGCTGGGGTATCTCTGCTTTCCAGGACAGCCAGGGCTACAAAGAGAAACCCTATTTTGAAAAAAACAAATAGAAAATTAACAGAACAGATGTGATACCAATAGGCAGTTGAGAAGATAATCAAGAAAGTTCTCCCACAGTTTTTTTTTTAAGGTGCAAAGATGGGAAAAAGATAAGTTATATGTTGCAAATAATGAGCAGATTAAACAGAGTAAGGGAAATAAAGAAATAATATATTTAAAAAAATTTGGACTGGAGAGATGGCTCAGTGTTTAAGAGCACTGAGTGCTATTCCAGAGGTCCTGAGTTCAATTCCCAGCAACCACATGGTAGCTCACAACCATCTGTAATAGAATTTGATTCCCTCTTCTGGTATGCATGAAAACAAAGTATATGTTCATACAAATACAATAAATAAATAAATCTTTAAAAAAATTTATTTTATGTGTCTTAGTGTGAAGGTGTCAGATCCCTTGGAATTGGGGTTACAGATAGTTGTGAGCTGCCATGTGGGTGCTGGGAATTGAACCTGAGTCCTTTGGAAGAGCAGACAATGCTCTTAACCACTGAACAATCTCTCCAGCCCCCAAGAAATAATGTTGTAAAAAGAGACCCAGGGGTAACCCAAGGGCTGGAGAGGTGGCTCAATATTAAAGAGCGCTTGCTGCTGGGTTTAGTTCCTATTACCCACAGGATGGTTCACAACCAGGATCTGATGCTTCCGAGCTCCATGGACAGACACTGCATGTAGGTGCTACACTTACATACGTATGGTGCAAAGTATTAGTGTGCATTAAAAGTAGTAATTTTAAAAAATTGGGAGGATGGAGAGATAAGTCAGCAGTTAAGAGCACTGAGCACTTGGCTGTTTTTGAAGAAGACCTGTGTTTGGCTCCCTGCGCTCACATCATGCAGCTGACCCCACCTGTAACTTCAGTTTCAGGACATCTAATGTCTTCTTTAGGCTTTGAGAATACCTGCACACAGTGGTGCACATACACTCAAGCTGACACACACAAAAGTAACTAAGATACTGAAAAATACTGTTATTTGAGGACAGGCTAGAGCAGTGGACAAGAGTGGAATAAGGAGTGATTGCTAATTGATACAGGCTTTTCTAGGGGATGATGAAGATATGCTAGTTACATGGTGATAATGATTGTGAAATTATGAATATACTAAACCTTGTTGATTATACAATTTAAACAGGTAAAATAACACAGGAGATGGAAAGGAATAATAAAACTCAATTCAAATGATTGCAAAAATGATGAATAAAGCAGCCAAAAGTACATCCTATATAGGAAATCTCCTTTTCTATATGAAGTTTGGTTTTGATGATTTGTTTTTTGGGTTTTTTTGTTGTTGTTTTTGTTTGTTTGTTTGTTTTCTACACAGAGTGTTTCTGTGTAGCCTTGGCTGTCCTGGAACTTACTGTGTTGGAAGCTATCCTCGAACTGATAGATAGAGATTCTCCTGCCTCTGCCTCCAGAGGCAGGATCCTAATGCTAGGATTAGAAGCGTGCACCACTACTACTGCCTGTATACCTGAAGTTTTTATATAAGCTTGCATGTTAGCTTAGAATAAAAGGTGTGCTGAGGTTGGTAGTAGAAGTCAGGATAGAGCATATAATTAATACATACAGGTCAAGGTTCAGTCTCCACTAAGAAGACACAAGGTAATGTTGAGTACAAGTATGTACTGATACATTCAAGTTATGGAAGTTAATACAGATTTCCAAAGTTTGCTTTAGGAAAGATTAGAGAACACTGTGAATATCCTAGAAAAGTTTAGTTTATAGCTAAAACTCTTTCTGCAAAGAAAATTGAAGACTTGATTGGCTTCATTAGTGAATCAATGAAATATTTAAAGAAGAAATGATACAAGTTTTATACAATTTCCAGAAAATGTTTCCCAACACATTTAGTGAGTTTCATATTACGTGGATATCCAAACCAAAGACATTACAAAAGAGAAAGCTATAGATCTCTTGAACTTGGCAAAGTTTTAACAGTAGTAATCCAACAGTGTAAAAAGGGCAATAGATCGGGGCCAAGTAGAGTTTGTTTCAGGACTGCAAGGCTAGTTAAACATTTGAAAAGTGGTATAATTTAGAAGCTGTATAATCTATTAAGAAGATGTAGGGAAGACATTTGACATAATCCATTATTAATTTCTGAGCAAACAATATCTTGGGAAATTTAGTAAATTTATATAAAGGGCATGTTAGGAATAATGATTGTTGATAATAAACTCAAAAAACTGACTTTTCACTCCCTATTTCAGTCAGAATACAAAAATTCCTATTAACGCTTTTATTGAACCATGGTCTAGGGACTAGCCAGTTCGATAAGATGAAATAAATAAATGAGTGATCCAGATTAGAAGTTACAGCGGCCTCTCCTTAGCTTAGCATAGTATATTACTTACAGAAGATCCTGTGATGCCTACAAAATTTAAAAATAATTAGAAGAGAGTGTCAAAAGATCAGTCCACACATGTGAGGCAAGCAAGCTACCTCTAAGCTACATTCCCAACCCCAAAACTGCCTTTTTTAGTAGTATCAAAAATTAGTAAATATTCCTGTGCAGATATATGATGAAAGCAGTGGCAGGGTCTGAAATCTGTCTGTCAATACTAGCAAACATTTCTGTAAGAAATTAAAGACCTAATTCATAGAGATTTTTTGTTGTTCATGGATCAGAAAACAAGGTATGAATAAACTCTTAAACTGATTTATAGATTGAATGCAATTCCTGTCACAGCCCTAGAAGGCTTTTTGTAGAAATTAAAAATATTATGAATTTCATATAGAAATGTAGAGGACCTGAATTAATCTCAGCAGATTTCAAAAAAGTATAAAAAGGACCTAGACTGTATTTAGAATGTTTGTTACAAAGATGACAGTAATCAAGGTAGACAGGATTGCCATAATGATAGATGATTTTAAGAGAGCAGAGCATCCAGAAATAGATCCACGAGTTTAAGAGCTACAGATTAGAGGAGGAGGACTGGGAAGGACAAGGAATTGGGGTGTTTGAGTTTGCTAAGGATGTTGATGATGTTGCAAGAATGTTGCAAGAATTTTTTTTTAAACAGTAGAACCATAAGAAAGTTGGGTAATGTGAAAATATTACATTTACAAACTAATAAAAAGAAAAGCGTGAGCCAGGTATTATGGCTCATGCATTTAGCCTTAATATCCATAGGTTGATACAGAAGAATTGCAATGAATTTGAGGCCAGTGTAGGCTGGAGAATGAGGCCCTGTCTCTGAAAAGCAGGTTGGAGGAGGAGGAGGGAGGAAAGAAGGAAGACTTCAGCTTGGGCAAGTGGCCTGTGTAAAATGTCTTTGGTGGCACCCTCCAGCAGGGTGCATGTTGTGTGTACCAGTTTTCTATCATAACTTCATTCCTAATCGGTTTCAGGAAAAATAAAAACACAATAATGAGTGCCATAATCAGTCTTGTGTAAAGGGATTATTTTCTCTTCTCCACCCCCACCCTCTAGGAAGTAAAAAGAAAGAAAAAGAACGGCCAGAGATTTCTCCTCCATCTGATTTTGAGCACACCATCCATGTTGGCTTTGATGCCGTTACTGGAGAGTTCACTGTAAGTTTCCTAGTGGAATGTGTCATGATATTAGAGTCCGGTGTTGAAGGGTGTGCAGAGAATCGTTTACTGCGGGGAGTGGTGTGCGCACCTTTAACCCCAGCTCTTAGGAAGCATTTCAGGACAGTCAGAGAAAGCATGTCTCAAAAATAGAAAAAGAAAAAAAGAGAGAGAGAAGCACTTGCTGTGCAAATGTGAGGACCTGAGTTTAAATCCCAGAAGGCACACAACCAGATGAAGTATTATAGTACTCCTGCGATGTGGTGGGAGGCGACTCTGAACCAATCATGGAACAGCTAACATGGTGTATGACGAAGTAGGAGAAACGAGACCTTGTCTTAAGGTGGAGGACAGCGATGCCTGAAATATTCTGACCTCTACAGATGTGCACACACTCAAAATTAGAAACCAAAAAAGGTACTCAAGCATTTTGTTCAGTGTTAAGTTTGAAATCATTTTTTCTCTGTGATTTGAGACAGGATTTTTATATAACCCAGACTGGCCTCCCATGACATTTTGTAATTGGGGCTGGTCTTGAACTCAGTCTTCCTGTCTCTGCCTTCCATGTGGTGGGGTAACAACTATGGGCTAACATGACTGATGTTGAGCTTTTCTATTCCATGTGATTATCAGTTCTTTTTCTATTCCTTTTGTTGTTGTTTAATGCAGTCTCATTATAAGTCAGTAAAACCTGGAACTGAGTCCTCCTGCTTTTAGGCATCAGAGTGTGGGGTTATGCACTGACTACCATAATTAGCATTAGGTGTCAATTCTTACTGGTTTTTGCTTGTCATAAAAATATTAGTGATTGGGGCTAAAGAGTTGGCTTAGAAGATTACAATACTTTTTTCTCTTGAAGAGGACCTGGGTTCCAATCCCAGCACCCACATGGTGGCTTACAACCATCGGTGACTTCAGCCTACTCAGCAGCATTTTAAGCCAGTAGAGGACCCTATCTCAAAAAAAAATTTGGAAGGCACCTGACAACCACGCTAGAGAACAGTATCGTTTGACCATGTAGTCCTTTAAAAAAAAACTAGACTTTTGGCTAGACATGATGACACATACATTTAATTTCAGCACTTGGGAGGCAGAGAAAGGCAGATCTCTGAATTGGAGACCAGCCTGGTCTACAGAGCGAGTGAGTCCTCTGATAGCTGGGGTTGCACAGAGAACCCCTGTCTTGAAAAAAGCAAAACAACAACAACAAAACCGCTATACTTTATAATCCCAGTACTAAGACAACGGAGGGAAGAATTGTGAGTTCCAGGCCAGGCTGAGCTACATAGTTAAAACTTTGTTTCAAAAATAAATACGGGCTTAGACACAGCTCAGTAGTTAAAAATACTTGTTCTTGCAGAGGACTTGGGTTCAATTCCCAGCACCCACATTGCAGCTCACAGCCATCTATAACGTGGTGTACAGACATATATTTGGGCAAAATATTCATACATAAGTCTAGAAAATAATAATACAATTTTTAGAAAAGGTTTTTTTAGCCAGACTTAAAATTTAGGTTGGTTGTCATTGGTCTGTGAAAATGTTCTTCATTAGAACATTAAGCCATAACTACCTTGTGGATTTGTTTTTGTTAGGGCATGCCTGAGCAGTGGGCACGGCTGTTGCAGACGTCCAACATTACCAAACTAGAGCAGAAAAAGAACCCTCAAGCCGTGCTGGATGTCCTGAAGTTCTACGACTCTAACACCGTGAAGCAGAAGTACCTGAGCTTTACTCCTCCTGGTAAGACACCAGGCAGTTGTGAGAGGCTGGATCAAGTGGAGAGAGCTGAAGCGCTGCCAGATAAAAAGATTCCTTCTGGGAAGATTAAAAAATTGGAAGGATAGCTGTTGACCTTCCTTTTCTCCTCCATAAATCTGCCCTTGAGAGAGTGGTGAGATTGGCCCAGAGCATGACTGGAGTCTAGAAAATATATTAACCTTATCATTTTGCCAGAAATGGAGTTGGTGGATTTTTGGCTCTTTGTTTAATCTTTTCCTCTTTGATGCCTTTAAATGACTGCCAGCAATAGAAGGTAGAGAGTCTGAATTTATAGACAAGTTTATGCTAGAGATGGTTATTGTGAGTAGGATAAAACAGAAGTGCTTTAGTAAATGGCAGGCTTTGAAATGAAAAGTGCTTCTCATAACTGGGCACAATGGCTCATGCCTGTAAGCCCAGCACTCCAGGATGCAGAAGCAGGTGGATCTCTCTTGAGTTCAAGGCCATCCTGGACTACATTTTGAGGTCCAAACCAGCCAAGGATACCTATCCCTGTATATGATATACACAAATAAACTGAGTAACAGGAACTGTAGAGCAAATATCAAGCAATCCAGAGCTACATAGCAAAACCTTGCCTGTTTTTTGTTTGTTTGTTTGTTTGTTTGTTTGTTTTTTGTCATATCTCAGTTTCCAGTTTTATTTCTCAAATTGTTAATATCTTCTCTGTTTCACATTTAGAGAAAGATGGCTTCCCTTCTGGAACACCAGCAGTAAGTTAATAATTTATTATAGTTTCTGTTATAATTTGGTTGCCTAAAACAAGTCTTTTAATTTTGCTTGGTAAAGTAGAAGAACCAGTTGGATGTGGTAGCCTTGTCTCTAACCCCAGTCTCAAAGAGGCCAACGTAGTGAAATCACTGAAATTGAAGGACTAGGTGACCTGCAAGACCTTGTCTCAAAAAACGAAAAGTAGAGTAAAATGAACTATTAGATAAATATTTGCTTAGTTTTTTGGGTGGTGTGTTTTTAATTTAGCCACCTGATTAGTTGAAGAAGGCGTATTAAGTAAGTAGGATTTGCTCGGTGGGCAATTTAATGTAACTAAACTTGATAATGATCCCAAGAGCAATGCAGCTATTTTTCTAGTGTTGCCAAATAGAACCTGAATATGGTAAACTGGCTGGCATATTCTCTTTCCCAAACTTCCTACCTGTACCCTTCTGAGTATGTATGGTAAACTGTAGCACAGTCTAAATAGTTAAAACTTACCAGCTCCTATTCTTTCTTCCTTTTCTTCCTTCCTTCCTTCAGATTATTTTACTTATTTATTATTTGTACAGTGTTTTGCCTGCATGTCAGCAGAGGGCACCAGACTCATTATATATGTATGTGAGTCACCACCTGGTTGCTGGGAATTGAACTCAGGACCTGGAAGAGCAGACAGTACTCTTAACCTCTGAGCCATCTCTCCATCCCCTTAGCTCCTTTTCTTGCTTTGTTAACTGGTGAAATGATGTTTTAAATCCCTCAAAATGAGGCTTATGTCTACAGAGTCCAGAGGACCTTGGCTTTGTTCCTAGGAAGTAGATTGCTTCCTTATAAAGCACTGTGTGTGCTCATGGAAAAGCAGAAATAGTCCTCCAGTGTACTTGGGAGCTCTGAGTGTAGCTTAGTGGTAGAGCAGTTATGCCATACACAATCCTTAGCAAAGTCCCTTCTCCACTGAAAATTATATTTATTGTATATATTAATTTACTTTTTAATTGGGTGTACCTGAACCAGTGAACTTCGATAATTTTTATATGAGTTGAAGAAAGTTTAAAATTTATTTTTTAAAAGGGACCCTCATTTTAACCTTTTAATTTTATTGGTTTATCCTCCTTTTTGCCTCTGTGATGAGTATAGCTGAATACAAAGGGATCAGAAACATCAGCAGTAGTAACAGAGGAAGATGACGATGATGAAGATGCTGCTCCTCCCGTCATTGCCCCTCGGCCAGATCATACAAAATCAGTGAGTGACTGAATGATGACCTGCAACTGTTTGTTTTGAAAATATCAGGCCCTCAAGCTTAAGATATTGTAGTATGGAGAAACTTTTCAACAGGTAAAGGTGCTTGGCACCAAGCCTGACAGCTTTGCATTCACTCCCGGGGACCTGTGTGGTAGACGGTGAACACCTCTGACTGCTACATGCAGATTAGGTGTGTGCATGCACACCCATATACACAATAAGTTAAAATTAATAAAAGTACTTTGAAAAGTAATGTCATGAGTGGGTGTGGTGGTGCACGACTTTAATCCTAGCATGGCAGGTAGATCTCTGTGAGTTGTATGCCAGCTAGCTTAGTGAGTTTCAGGCCATACTAAGACACTAGACCCTATCTCCTAAAAAAAAAAAGAAAAGAAAGAAAATATTTTTCCCCCTACTCTAAAGACTTTGTATTTCTTTAGCTTTCTCAATATAGTTAAGTATGTTATCTAAAACTTGGGCCATTGTTGTATCTTACTTTACTGTCAAAGGCTGTGTATTTAATCAACAGGCATTTGGGAGTTAAATTACTCACCAAGAGAATTTAGAGTGTAAGGGGTCCTTAGCTGAGTGTGGTGGCATAAATCTTTAATCCCAGCACTCAGGAGGCTAACATTGTTGGGTGGGTCTCTGTAAGTTCAAGGCCAGCCTGCTTGTTATACACAGAGAAACCCTGTCTTAAGTATCAACAACAAAAAAAAGAGTAGGGGCCTCAAGTGGAGGCAGGCAGTGAGAAACTGCCTGCCCTTCCTGCCATGATGAGGGAGAATGCAAGATGATGATACTTGTGCTGCCATGGGACTCTGGTCCACTCAGTAGACAGATTGGAGACTGAGGCAGTGATAGAAGACTGGGTTTTCTTTATGACTTACAGGACAGGTATTTTAAAGAAAATGATCGTTGAATTTGTGTAAATCTTACATGGGCAGTTACTAAGCTATGTTGGGGTCATTCTGTTTTTGTTTTGAGCCAGAGTCTCAGGTAGTGTAGGCTGGCTTCAAACTCACTTTATAGCTGAGAATGTCCTGGAATTCTTGGTCCTTCTGTCTCTGCCTCTCAGGCACCCGAATACAGATGTGTGCTGCTGTGCCCACTGCAAGTGTGCTTTTATTATTATTACTGTATTTTATGTATATGGATGTGTTGCCTGGGTGTGTCCCTGTTGCCTCTAGAACTGGATTTACAGATGGTTTATGAGCAGCCATGTGGGTGCCGGAAACTGAACCTGGGCTCTTAACTGTTCAGCCATCTCTCCAACCTCACAAGTGTGCTTTTTTCCATTAAATTATTCTCAGTACTTTTAATGTGGTCACACTGAAATTTCATAAACATTTTTTTCTAGACACTTTCAAAATGTATACATGCCATGTCAGAAAAAAATGTTTCACATTATTTTCCGAGTTACATGTTTTGGGGAAGTAGGAGTACTTGTAACAGGGTCTTATTGGAGCCCAGGCTGTCCTATTATTTCATGTATCTGCCTTCTGAGTGTTAGTTTATAGACATGCACTATTGTCCCTGGCAGCTATGTGTTCCTTGTTGAATATGCTGTTCCCAATCTTCAAAACAGTGGGAGACAGAACTTAGTTTTGCTGTAAAAAAAAAAAAAAAAGAATGAATTTTCTGCTGCTAAAATCATCTGAAAATGTTTAAATGTTTTTTTTCCTCAAGTCTCAGCAATAAACTATGTATCTCTGCAGATTTATACACGGTCTGTCATCGACCCTATTCCTGCTCCAGTTGGTGATTCTAATGTTGACAGTGGTGCCAAGTCTTCAGACAAGCAGAAAAAGAAAGCCAAGATGACAGATGAAGAGATTATGGAGAAATTAAGTATGCCGTCTATACTATTTTCTTAAAAATATTTGCCCCAAAGCTGGAGATATTTGTTGCTTATTTGGGATCACTTGCTGAGTGTGTGCAGAACCCTTGGTCTCTGCCTAAAGGGCACAGCTGGAAACTCTATCAAAGGGGCTTTGTGTGTATGTATGTGCACTTACATCTTCTTAGTACAAACCTATAAAAATGTCCCTACAGACTGGCAAGACGGTACAGTAGGAAAGGAAATTCAACCCCAAGCTTGATGTCTCACCCCCTGGGATACAAATGGAGGAAGGGGAGAACTATCTTCCAAATTTTTTGACCTTCATACACATTAAACAAAAAACAAATGAAAAAGGTGTTCCTAGAGAAAGTGACCTTCTGTAATATGTGTCAGCATTAAATATGGAGGGTATGGGTTCTTATTCTTTCCTTTTAATCCATTATCGTTGGCTTAAGTCAGGCATTAAAGGTAACAATATCTGCTCACAATTCTTCAGCAGCCTCGAAGAGCACTGATTTGACTGGGTAGGGAATGGGGCAGTCAAGGAAAGAATCAGGGTAGGTAGTGTTTACATGGGTGTGCTCTGGTTATTGCTTTTATTCCTCAATACTTTCAAGTGTGAACCTGCTTTTACCCTGGCATTTTGTAACAATGTTCCTTCTCTTAGGGAAGCTGTTACTTTAAACAGTAAACCAGAGTAGTAATTGCCACCATCTAATCATGACTCGGTTATCTTGTCCCCTCTTTGCTGCAGTTCTTTCTTCAGCATCTTACTGTGGGTCTTGACTTTGTTAAAGCTTGTAGTTAGTGGCTGCTTGTGGCGGGGACCTAAGTAGACGACTGGGCTTCGCATGTCCATGTCTTACCTTTAGCAAGTGACAGTGATGTGTCATTTTGACTTAATAGTAAATATGTTTAAATTATTTTTCTAATTTCATGAATTTAATATTTCTCAGTAAATTTAAGTTCATTTCAATATACTTAAGTAGAAAGGTAGAAGATGGGCTGGAAACGTTTGAAAAACCAGTTAGGGATTATTTAGTTGACTATTTATTCATTTATTATTTTTGATAGTAAGTCATTTCACAGCCTTTTTTTTTTTTTTTAATTTAGTTATAAGTCCTGCATTCTGAGAACCCTGTGAGTTTCAGGCTGACTGAGACAATTGGGTCTACTAAAATGTCAGGATTTTAAAGAAAGTGATTAATAAATCTAACCTGGCCGGGCAATGGGGGTACATGCCTTTCATTCCAGCACTCAGGAGGCAGAGCCAGGTGGATCTCTGAGTTTGAGGCCAGCCTGGTCGACAGAATGAATTCTAGGACAGCCAAGGTTACATAGAGAAACCCTGTCTTGAGTGGGGGGAAACGTCTAACCTGATGGAAAAGTGTGCCACTTTCTTTTAACTTTAAAATTCTCTCTCTCTCTCTCTCTCTCTCTCTGTGTGTCTGTCTTGTGCATGCGTGGTGCCGGCAGAGGTCAGAAGGGGTGTTGGCGCCCCTGGAGCTGGAGTTCTGGGTAGATGTGAGCCACTGTGTGGGAGCTGGGAACTGAGCCCAGGTCTTGTGCTTTTAACTGTGGAGACATTTCTCCATCCCTTACTTAGTTTTCTTTGTTGTTGATGGTTTAAAGCATTTAAATTGTTTGAAACAATCGATGGTTTGAAACAGTTTATGGAAAGCACTTTTATAACTAGTGTAGGTTATTAAAAGGAATAATCATGAATTATTTAAAGGAATAGTTAAATTTTGTTTGCAATTAGCTTGCTTGACTGACTTCTAATTTTTGTTTGTTTAAAACAGGAACTATTGTGAGCATAGGTGACCCTAAGAAAAAATACACAAGATATGAAAAGATTGGGCAAGGGTAAGTGTTGATCTATTCTGACGTTATACTCAGGGCTGCCTGTGTATATCCACAGCACTCTCCATTCTGAAACTGAGCATGGAACTGTTCTGTGCGGTACTTTGGGAGATTGTGTGAATACATAACACAGTTGTGTGTAGATACTGTTAAAGCAAAACTGCACTCTAGGTTGGCTATGATACACACTTGTAATCCTATTACTTGAGATGCTGAGGCAGGATTGCTACAGATTGAAGGCTAGCCCGAGCTCATCGTGAGATCCTGTTTCAAAAAATAAAAGTAATCCAGCACAGGTTAATTGTAACTTTACAGTGTCTGTCCTACTTCCTCCTGTCTTCCTCTTTCCCTTACCCTGTTCTTCTCCCTTTCACTTCCTCCATCATCATCATTATCTTCTTCAACAAGGTTTCCCTGTGTAGCCCCAGCTGGCCCCACACTCACTATGTAATTCAAATCTCAATGACCCTCCATCCTCAACTTTCTTGGTGTTAGGACAGAGGTGTGTGTCACTATGTGGTTTTCATTGCTTTTTGCTGTATATCATTTTCCATAGATGGTGAGAGATCGTGTAAAAAAATTACACATATAATGTATTTTAAAGGCAATTACAATATTTATTGCAGGCTAATTGGCAGTTAAAAAAATCTTTAAATCAAATATTGAGTTTTTATTTTATTTTCCCTTCCAATCTTAATCCAAGCACTGGTTTTAATAACAAAAAAAGAAAGAAAGAAAGTCACCCTTTGTGTGTGTGTGTGTGTGTGTGTGTGTGTGTGTGTGTGTGTGTGTGT